GGAAGTGCGACTGCTCTAGCGAAGCACCCGCCGTTTCACAGCCAGCCTAGCGTGTTGGGAACCCCGCATGCCTAGGCTTGCCCATGCCTAGCATCCGGCAGCATCACACCTGCCTGGCACCGCGTAAAGCGAGACTGCGGAGTTACCCATCCTTGGGGGATGGCATGGCAGTGGTTCCCTACTCTACCGTGTTTGTCACTGGGAACAAAACATGGGTCTGTTAAAAAATTCCCATTGAACATTAAGAACATATGTTCTTACGTTGACGGGTCCGTTCATAACTCTGAGGTGCTGCTGCACCCCAAAATACCACAGTATTTCATAAGCTCTGCAGCTGCAAAGCTCAATCCAATGGCAGCCAGTCAGTGGGATCTAAAACTCTTCTGTGTACACAGTCATTGATGCAGTGTAATTAATGTGACTCTCTTCATGTGTGAGCTATCTACCAGGAACACAGGATATATGCTGATATAACCCTCACCACCATTGGGCTCTACTGGAGGGACAGTTGGGGAAATTAGTAGGCTGTCCAGTTCTGGGTTCTAAAGCCAGGAAACTGAACGTTCCCAATTTTGTGAGGCCAGCTGTTTGGGAGGGACAGGGGCAAAGCAAGCCTTAAGGGTGAGTTACCCAGGTGACTGCAAATGGGTGTCATACTCAAAGTGGTGCTACTATGCAGCACAGAACCATGCCGCTTAGGTTGTCAGTAACTGCTCCTGGCTGACCCGGGAGCTCTTCTGGAGAGAAAAGCTACCCAGGTTGATGCCAGTTTCCTCCCAGTATAAGAACATGGTGGGAGGGTGATCTCTCTCCCACAAACCTTCCTCTACAGGGCTATGGGGGAAGCCAGATGTAACACATTCATGCTTTGTGCCTCCAGGCCACTTTCTCCAGCCCAGTTATGCCTGAGGTGAGCATCAGGAGCTGCTGCTCTCCTGTCTTTCATGGACCCGATATTGCTCCTTGCTTCCCAGCTCCTAGCCTCCTAAGGTGCTCAGAGCATTGCTGGAGAGGGGAAGCTAACAGCGAATCCATGCATCCTGGGCGTTTTTCCCAGGAGAATGCAGGAGTTAGGAACGAAGGGGACACAGTGCAGGGTGAGAGGCGGATGGGGAAATCGAGGAGGCCAAGCGGCAACGCGCAGCAGGGCAGCTGTGCAAAATACAAGTTTTCCCCAGGCGCCTCCTAAGGTGCTCAGAGCATTGCTGGAGAGGGGAAGCTAACAGCGAATCCATGCATCCTGGGCGTTTTTCCCAGGAGAATGCAGGAGTTAGGAACGAAGGGGACACAGTGCAGGGTGAGAGGCGGATGGGGAAATCGAGGAGGCCAAGCGGCAACGCGCAGCAGGGCAGCTGTGCAAAATACAAGTTTTCCCCAGGCCGCCATTTGTACTCCAGTGCTATTGCCCCACCAGCCAGGGGAGAAGCGGCTCCCGGGGAGAGGGAAGGTAGCTAGGGGCTGCCACAGCAAGGACACCGCACAACCCCCATCCGCAGGGAAGGCCTCGGACTCTGCCAGAGGAGTGGGCCCAGCAGCCTGCCACTCGGGCTAACGGGATGCCGCTCCCCAAAGGACCTGGGAGCAAAGCTCACCCTTAAGTCCCGCCCCTCAACCTATGACTCTGCCTGTCCCGCCTATCTTCGTCGGCCCCGCCCCTCAGCCTATGACTGTCCCTCCTGCCTATCACTGTGAATGACAAAGAGCAGCCTGGGTTTTTAATTTGTTC